TCATACTTGTTTGCTTTCACACAAGACTGGTCATTTTAACAAGTATTTTCAGAAAGTATTGTTGCTTGTACTGTAGTATTTTATAGTAATTTTTGATTCATGGGAAAAATAAAACAAAATCCCTAACATTTATTGAACATTTAACTTAAAAAAATGCCCTTAGAACCCTGTTGGCAGCAGCCAGTCACACTGGTTACTTTATAGTATCAGAAGATGCGGTCACCTTTTAAGTCAAAATACTGCCATCTTGAAAGTCCTCCTTAATAACGCCTGACAAATATTTGGTAAATCAGTTATTGTTACAGACCAAGGCTTGTTTCTAGATTCCACAACTGATTAATGAATGGTTCCCCATCTTTCATTGAGACTCCCCTACCTAAATAATGGTATGTCCTACTTCAAGTGTTGGATATATATAGTTATAGTATGTGGTTGGAATGTTCTAAGAAATCTTGTTTCCATGGTGACACTGTAAGTTGAAATATAGAACAGTATCTGCCTGGTATTCTGTATATACATGTATTAACACTGGACACATACTTTATAACTCAACTCTGTGATGACAGTGTCACGAGTAGCAACTTTCTTGTTGCTTAGTGATGAACGGATGGATGCATAGTTACAACTGTTACATGGTACTGGTTGAAACTGGTTGTTATTAGAATAGACTGGTGGTTAAAGCTAGATACTCACTTGGTATCTTTATGTGACTGAGCAGACACTGTCCTTACTCTAGAGACTGAGCAGACACTGTCCTTACTCTAGAGACTGAGCAGACACTGTCCTTACTCTAGGGTACAGTGTATAACAGTAAAGGTATATGATAATGTTTTCATCTGGGACATTGTCACCACGACAACCAAGGACTAATGCTGACATGGTAAGACAAAGTAGAATAGAATAGAATAGAATAGAATAGAATAGAATAGAATAGAATAGAATAGAATAGAATAGAATAGAATAGAATAGAGAATAGAAACATTGGTTTGATCCAATTAGAACTCAAAACCCAACTCTGTCATTTTTATAGTACATTGACCTTTCTCATATCCGCATTGCAATTTGTTTTTATTGATTCAACAGTTTTTGTGAGTAATGACATTTAATGTTTCTCAACTTAATACAAGAATGTACTGTGATACATTGCCTTGTTTGTAAGACTCCATAGATTGTGAAAATAACAGTGTCAGCAGGCTATATGGTAAACACTCTAATTGACAGTTGAAGTTATTTATAAACTAAAAATGATGATTATGAAGCTAAATATATCACAGACTTTGAGACAACTCGTGAGAGTTGTGCTGTGACCTCATATATACATGGTTAATTATGTAGTGACATCATAAATTTAGTTAATTGTGCAGTGACATCATAAATTTAGTTAATTGTGCAGTGACATCATAGATTTTGTTTATTGTGAAGTGACATCATAGATTTTGTTTATTGTGAAGTGACATCATAGATTTTGTTAATTATACAGTGACATCATAAATTGTGTTAATTGTGCAGTGACATCATAGATTTTGTTTATTGTGAAGTGACATCATAGATTTTGCTAATTAAGCTGTGACATAAATTGTGTTAATAGTGTGGTGACATCATAGATTTAGTTAATTGTGCAGTGATGTCTTAAATTTAGTTAATTGTGCAGTGACATCATAGATTGTGTTAATTGTGCAGTGACATCATAAATTCAGTTAATTGTGCAGTGACATCATAGATTTTTATTGTGAAGTGACATCATAGATTTAGTTAATTATGTAGTGACATAGATTGTGTTAATTGTGCAGTAACATCATAAATTCAGTTAATTGTGCAGTGACATCATAGATTTTGTTTATTGTGATGTGACGTCATAGATTTTGTTAATTATGCAGTGACATCATGAATTGTGTTAATTGTGCAGTGACATCATAGATTTTGTTTATTGTGAAGTGACATCATAGATTGTGTTAATTATTCAGTGACATCATAAATTTTGTTAATAGCCTATTTTTTTGTTTCACATGAGATCTCGCAAGACTGTTAAATTGGTCAAGCTTTGATTCAAAATGGCGCTAAATCGTGAGTGTCATGCATTAAATTTCCGAGTAATTTCTTGTTTCTGTTTCACGTTTTCGATCATGGCTTACTTCAATAAAATGACGATGCTGCAGCAAAAAGACTTTCTTTGTAAATTTCATCGTCCAACTATGAAAAGAATATTTCTCTTGTTATCACTAAAGCTGTGCATGATGTAAAAGACCCTGATTTGTTATGAAACTGTCCTAAAAAATGACGTTGCTTCAGGACTTAACAAACTTTATTTTCACTGGTTACGCAGTATTTTTCCACAATTCAGCATTTCTTATGTTTTCAACTACTGTAGGATACTTTATTTTTGCTTTTCACTTCAACTTATTTCACATTAACGTCATCAAAAATCAGTGAAAATAAATTCTATACAAAACACCAAAAATGTCCTTTCAGCGAAAATTAATTCCAGCTAAAATAAAGTATTTTACAGTATTCTATTTTAGCACTCTCAATTTGCCATGTTAGCATACACTAACTGAAATTTGAAGTAGCTAATGTGATTTATATTCTATAAGCCACAATAACTATATCACAATGTGTGATTTAAAGAATTCACTATCCAGAATACCATCAGAATAATATGGTATTATTTCATGCATAATAAATTCAAGTATTACATTTTATATGTGGCTAATGATAACTCAATATGGAAAATAACATAATATAATAGTCACCCAATTCTAATGATTGTCATGACCTAGCACTAACTGTGCTATTTAATGTGTAATTGATCTGTCCATAACCAGAAGAAGCTCAGGATCTAGACATTTATACAGTTTTTTTAGTCCCCGTTTGGACTTATGGATTGACCTCTGTGCGTCAGTGTGTCTGTGCATCTGTGCACCCAAACCTATATCTTAGACATGCCTGGACTGATTATATGTAAATTTCACAGATACATCATACATAATATTATACATACATGTATGCACATCAGTTTGTTCCATGATCTGATTCAAGATGACCGGTGGCCATTTTTGTGCTGAAAAATCATCAAAATCAAGCATTTCTGGCATTACGTTTGCAAATGGATTTTGTTAAAACTTGATACATACATTAGACATTATTGGTAAATGGTTCATGATGCACGCCTTTTTAGCTCCGCTGTCGACTTTGTTGAGCGAAGCTTATCATATGAGTGATTGTCCGTCGTCGTCCGTGTCAATGTTTTACTTGTTCGACTTCTTCTTGAAAACTACAAACCTGAATGCTTTGATACTTGGTGTATATGTACCTTGGGTAGACCTCTCTTAGATTTGTTCATTTCATGATAATATCTTCAATTCTCTAATTTTGATGAATATTTTTTTTATTTTTGGTAAAAAGTGATATTTTCGACTTCTTGTTAAAAACCGCAAGTCCAATTGCTTTGATACTACATATATAGGTACTACATGTGGACCTCTCTCAGATTTGTTCATTTCATGATGATATCTTCAATTCTCTAATTTTGATGAATATTTTTTTCATTTTTGGTAAAAAGTGATATTTTCGACTTCTTGTTAAAAACCGCAAGTCCAATTGCTTTGATACTACATATATAGGTACTACATGTGGACCTCTCTCAGATTTGTTCATTTCATGATGATATCTTCAATTCTCTAATTTTGATGAATATTATTGTCATTTTTGGCGAAAAGTGATATTTTGAATTCTTGTTAAAAACATCAAGTTTACATATTGTTAATTTTCTAATGATAACAGTGGAGCTATCTCAGCCGAGAGGCTGCTTGTTGTTTTTCAAATCGGATTCATAATGGCCGACTCATGGCCATTTTGTTTTAATGAATGCAGCTCTAGAGCCATCATTATCTCTGCCATGCTTTGACTGATTATGTTCAAATTTTATATATTCATTGTACATGATAACATCATGTCATAGATATACAGAAGTATTGTGCAGTGACATCCACAGTCAGCTGGCGCACACGTGATAATAACATAAATACGATATTTACTATATGGGAGCCGCCATCTTGAATGACGCATAAAACTAACTTTTTTTCAGATTCCTACAAATCAGGACAAAAATACCAATCTTTCACAAAAATACGGTTCGTTGGGGTTATATTAAGCCAACCGATAACAATATTCGGCCTAATTCGTCGTTTTTGTGTGGAAAATCCC